AGACTGGGACGTGGGGGAGCTGAGCCTCTTTTCTACTGGAGAGTTTCCAGATTGCTTTGGAGGTGCTATAAGGACTTCCAAGTGAGTCTATGAGAGGCACTTCACTCCATCCATTTTAGGATGATGAATGTTGAGTACCTTGCTTGACATGGCACAGGTAGGAGCTGGGGCTCAATGCGAGCTTCCCGACTCTAAGTGCAATGTGCTTGCCACTCGGGCTGAGATATCCCGGGCGTCTTGGGGTACAGAGTGAATCTGCTCTCTTAGCTTCTGATGATCCTTGAGGGACGTGGCCACATTGACTGCATTCCTCTGAGTGTCTCTTTCTCAGTCTGAATGACCCAGTGCCTTCAAGCGCCTCAATTGGTTTCCTAGGGACTTGAAGTCCAGGCCCCTCCATATTTGGGCCACTTCCGCCAAACATGCTCCTGTGTGTCCATCAACTGGGGCTGAGTGACATGCAGGTGCACGCTTTGCAAGGCACCACCTGGCTGGCAGGGAGAAGGACTGCATTGGGCCCTAACTGCAGCTTCCTCCAGTGGACGGGCAACCGGCTGTGAGGTGGAGAGTGGAGGGCCAGGAGGAGGAGGAAGAGGAGGCAGAGCCCTGGGTGAGATGCAACAAAAATAGAGGGGCAGGGTTGCTGTGGGCCCGGTCTCTCCAGTGCATGCTCACTGGGAGGCCCTGGTTCAGACCAGCCCATCCGGCCCTGTGCTGGTCGCAGAGTGAGCCACTTGGGGAAGCGTGTTGGACATTTGCAGGCTGTTCCCCTTCAGTGGGCGGAGACGGTGTTCTGCAGAGAGTCCATATTCTGGTCCTCTAGACTTCGGTTTCCTGGGCTGTGTCTGCAGCTCCCTCACCTCGTGTGGCAGGGGTCCTCTAGAGATGCCTGGCTTTACTGGGCCATTTGTTCGTCTTGACAGAGTGAGGGGAAGACAAGAACAAGGAACGGCTAGTGAGTGCCCAATAGGGCCTTCAGGTTTATTTTCACTTAAAACGATGGTAATAATTGCACTTACCCTATAGGAGTGTTGAAAGAATTAAAAATGGTAGCACATAGGTGCTCTGTGCCATGACGGACTCTGTGAAGGGCAGTCACTCCTATTGCTCACCCTGTGATGCACCTCGCGGCTCCCAGAGACGGTCTCCTCTTGGCACTGCGGGGGCTGAGCGAGGTCTGTCACTCCATGCTCTGAAAGCACTTGTGGGGTGAGAACTGGACTGGACAGCAGGATTGGGGTCCAGCGGGCTCTAAGTCGCTGTGTGACCTACAGCAAGCTCTTTTCCCTCTCTGGGCCTCTTTTTTTTTTTTTTTTTCCTGTACCAGCGAGAGTGTGGGCTAGAAGATCTTGAAGGTCCTTCTACCCACTGAAGCTGTGGGGTCTGGGCCACGGGCAGGGTGTCACTCTGAGGCCTCTCCTCGCCCCGCCATGCACTGGCCTGGTCTGCTGGTTCCTAGGCAGGCCTCACTGGCCAGGCGTGCTGGAGACGGTGGGTCTGGGACCGTGACTCTGAGGCCAGGCCTGCGTCTGTCCCTCCTTGCGTGGAGACGGGGGCAGGGCCCGCTGCCTGCATGCGTGTGTCCTGAAGACACCTCAGGAAAGGGATGCTGCCTGGGTCACTCCGGGTTCTCTCCCTGCCCGCCCCGACAGCCAGACCCATGTCCTCAAGTCACAGGGAGAGTTCAGCATGTCCTTCTGTGACATGGCAAGGCGGCAGTAAAACCCAGCCCCTCTGGGAGGGCAGGTGACCCTCACACACCAGCCAGGTCTGACTCAGAGCCTGGCCTGCCAGCCCCCAGGCCAGCTGTCCTCTGGGGCGCTCCACTGAAATCATGCCACAGAGGGTGGCATCAGGCAGCTGGAAGGTCCCATTACCAGCCTGAGCAGCGAGCGTGTCTCTTGCTCTGGGGCCAAGGAGAAGAATGTGATATCAGCCTGGCACCAGCTGGCCTGAAAGAACAGCTAACTCTCAGTGGGGACAGCTGAGATGAAGTCCCGAGCGCAAGCCTGGCCATCAGCCTCAGGACAGGGATTGCTGACCGTCTGACCCAGTGAGGACCCCTGAGGCCCGGTCCCCTGGGGCCCCGCCCCTAAGCTCACCCCCACCTGACCGGGTGTGACCTTCACTTAGGTCTTGGCCCTTCTCTGAGCTGTGGCTCCCCCATCTGGGCTGAATGTGAAGGTGTTTAGGGAAAAATTTTGTGGTTTAATTAAACCACGAAATTAAATAATTAAACCACAATTAAACCACCCTGTTCCTTCAGCCTTTAATGGAAACACCACCATGAAGGGTAAGAATCCATCCCAAACTGTCTTCTGGATTCCACTGGATTCTCCCTTTTCACCGCATCGACCCTTCCTCACTGCGTCCTGAGCCGAGCTGGTACCCACACTCACGTTTTCTGGAAGGAAAATTACCTTCCTTCTGGATTTTAGGAAGTGACAAGCTGGCCTTTTGACGGTGTGGTTGAAAGAGATTTGGGTTGACCAAGGAGATCTTATTTCTTGTTTCAGCTCTTTCGATGGGGTCTTGAACAATTCTATTTCCCTTCCTGGCCTCAGTTTCCCTCAGAAATGTGAGATATTTAGGCCAGGAGATCTCAAATTTTCCTCTGTTTTACAATTCAGGGTCTCTCTCTAATTTATCCTTGGGAATTTGACTTTTTTCCCCACTGTGTCCCACAAATGGATTAAATGGGAAGAACTGAGAAGTGAAACGATTTTGTTCTAGACCAGCTCAGAAGGACAATGAACCCCCTAACCTCTGGTGTGGAAAACTGTGGAAAAGTGCCATCCCTACCCCATCTGTAAAAAAAAAAAAATAGGTGATTAATGTCCTCTCTCACCCACTGTGGGGGATTTATAAGCAGTCATAAGCACACATGCCATCCTCCCCCTCCAGCACGCACCAGGCTAGCAGGAGCTTTGGAGAATGCTTGTCCCTGAATGAAAGTCAGGCAGACAGCATCCTTGTCACCAGTCCTTGCTGGGATTACCTTCACAGTAGAGCCATGATTCATTTCCCACAGGCCTCGGGATTGTATGAGGGGATTCCAGAAGCTTCACGTGAGCAGCGAGTACCCAGTATCCTGGGGCTGCTTGCCAGTAAGGTGACCTCGCTCAGTGTCTGTTGCCACCACCTGCTGATTGGGAGCTGGCCGCGGCTGCTCGGAGACCTCGTGGCATCCTGGTCATGTGAGGCACTTGGCAGGAGCTGGTGCTCAGGGGTCCCGGTATGCGGGTGACAGCCTCTGCCATGGAGCTGTGGGCATGACTGTGTCAGTGGGTCCACCTGCTTGTGCCGGAGCAAGGTCACACTCCAGGCAGCCCTCTGGGCCATTCTGTCACCCTGCTCTGTGGCTGACAGAGACATCTGCAGCCACGTCACTCAGCTGTGCTGCTGACAGCCTGGAGACATGTCTGAACAGCATTTAGGTCACCGCTGGAGGAACCCTATACTTCTGCTACCAATGAGCTGGGCTCTGAACGGTGAGCAGGAGAGAAGGAGGAAGAACTTTCTGGATGCCAAATCTCATGGAAAGATTCATAAAAAAAAATTGGGCATACCAAGTAAACCAGTTAGCCTAGACTAGATCAAAATTCCTATGTGTCTGACTGCAGACCTGTGATGATTTGTGAAGAATATTTATTATTCCATAACAAAGATGGAAGGATAAAGCCAGTAGAATGAATTTCATAAAACTAATGTCACTTGAGGAATTGTTCTTTATTTTTAGATGATTTCTTTGCTAGTTTTTAATATTAAGATTCTTTTTCCTTATAAAATAATGGTAATATCAGATGGTAATTGGTTTTTAAAATGTACCTACCTGATAACCCTATGTCCATCCCCTGTAATTGAAAACAATGTTTTTGCTCATCCATAAATTTCAAAAATCCAGGAACTGCAGTGAACACAATTGCCATTCATTGTAAGGCTCCCACAGAGGTCTGGCTACAGCATGCCCCTTGGATCACCTGTCATCAGGAGACAGCTGGAGGGAGATGCAATTCTGTGCTCCCCAAAACTGCTCAGAGGTGGAGGGGGATGTTTTGGAGGTACCGAGTACCCTGCCTTCAAGGGTGTTTAAGGATTGCTGGATGAACCTCTGGTGGGAATATTAAAAAGGGATGTATGCCTTTCTTCCAACCTTGAGATTAAAAAACAAATATTCTGATGCCATTTCTTTTTCCTATTTCTCTAGGTGGACACAGGCAGCCGTGACCATTAATTCTGCTTGAGGGGGGTGGTTCCAGGAGTGGAAAAGCAATGGGAATAGCACTGAGTGGTGGGAAGGCCCCTGGGGCAGCGGGCAGATCCTTTGTTCCAGTTGCTGCTCTGATGTTGACATACAATGAGACTCTAGACAAATCATTCCCCTTTCTGGGCCTCAATGTCCCCTCTGTATCATGGGGGATTGGAGTGGGTGTTCTCTGTGGTCTATTCCAGTGTTTCTCATGCTGATTCTGGGGAACGATCATTTTTTTTCTGGTTTATTGGGATATAACTCACATACCATGCAATTCACCCACTTACAGTGTACAATTTGATGGTTCTTAGTATATTCATGGAATTGTGCAACCATCACCATAATCAATTTTAGAACATTTTCATCATCCCCAAAAGAAACCCACTACCTTCTAGCCACCAACTCCCAGTTCCCTTATTGCCATCCTCCAGTCCTGGGCTACTTTCTGTCTCTATAGGTTTCCCTGTTCTGGACCTTTCCTACTAATGGAATCATACAGTATGTGTTTTACATGTTTAGCTTCTTTCACGTAGCACATACTGCCAAGGTTCATCCACGCTGTAGCATGTATTGATACTTCATTACTTTTTACTCCTGAATGCTGAGAAGTATTTCATTGTCTAGACATAACACATTTCATTTATCCATTCATTAGTTGGTGAACAGTTGGGTTGTTTCTACATTTTGGCTATTATGAGTAAAGCTGCTATAAGTATCGGTGTGTATGAGTCTTTGATGTTGAGGTATGTTTTCTGTTCTCTTGTGACTATACCTAGAATGGAACTGCTAGATGATTAATGGCTTCTCTGATCTTATATCCTGCCCGCCCCTCCACACCCCTGTGCTCCAGCCACCGTGGGGCACTATTCACCCCCACTTCCCTACTCCCCCAGCCTGTGTTTTTAGGATTCCACGATTTTGCCCACACCACTGTTTCCCCTGAGATGCTCTGCCTTTCCATCATTTGGGGTCCGAATCTTCTGTGTTACAATATGAATGGCCCAGCTCGAATGTCACTTCCTCTATGAAGCCTTCTTCCAGTGTCTCTTGTGGGAGCCATCCCACCTCATGTGACTCTTACATCACCACGCCTTTTCTGCCTTGAGTTATAGTTGTTTTGCACCTACGTCTTATTGCCCCTCTTAAACTATACTGCTCTCAGCTTTATCTGGACTCTGGTTTTTAAATTTACTTTTATATTCCAAGTGTTTTGCATATAGCAGACCCTGCATAATTCTTGGAATAGTGAGCATTTGATGTGCTCTGTTATTTAACTATTTTAAGACAGCACCTCTGCACCCTGTATGGTTACCAGGATTGTGACAGCCCTTCACATCTTGGAATGAAAACATCTCCTCCAGGTAGCACTTGGGGATAAGGCTGAGCTGCCTTCTGTTCCTCTGGCCCATTCCCCTTGTCTCCAGTCTGATGCGAGCACCTCAGCCTCTTCCTCACGTTTCCAGCTAAAATCTAATGAATGATTCTGAAAAACAAGGTTATGTGCCTTGGATCCTGGCTTCTCTGAGCATTGCTCATGACTTTGAAATTTATAAACATAGACAGCTGTCTTCCCAGATGACCTACCAAATCATATTCCCCTAGAAAGCAGAGCTCAATTAGATGCTTAAAGCATCAGATAGTGCAGTGAACTAGATGACTTCCTGCTCTATGCAAGGTAGGAGGCGGCCTGGACAGATGGTCATCTGGTCTCAGATTGAATATTTCCAATAGCAAGTAAATACCTTTCTTTGACGGCCTTTTGAAGGTTAGGAAGGTTCTTCTTTCATTGAACTAAAATCTGCTCTCTGCAGTTCTCAATCATTGTGCCCAACTTGGCCCAGAGGCCCCTCAGGCCACCTCCACACCCTCGCTCCAGCACAGCCCTTCAGGTTTTGAAAACAAGACTGTGGCTTCTGCGTTTCTTCTTCTCCAGGTAGAAGAGCCCCAGTTCCTTCAGTAAGTTCTTTATACTTAATAAGAATTAGTAAAAATAATAAGCAGTAAATAATCAATTAATAATAATACTTTTGACTAAGAAAAATGCCAGTGATATTACAATAAAAAGTGACAATATTAAAATTGTGTTTACCATCTAGTTATCGAACCTTTAGCATGTGTGGGCATCAAGCCAAGCATTCAACGCGGGTTCACGCTTTCCACTCTCACAACCACCGAATGAGGTGCGGGCTGTTAGCTCACCTACAGATAGGAATGGGAACTCGGAAACGTGACAGAAGTGCGGGAGTGACTGGTGCAGGTGGGTCTTGAGTACAAGTGTGTCTTCTATTGGAGTTCAAGGTCTAACATCTAGGTGCACAGCCTTATTCAGGCACCCTGCCAGGTGAATGTTGGGTGACCCTGCCTGGCTGCAGGGAGGCTGACCCTGCCTGTCCATGGTTTGGTGGGATTGAGCACGGGACTGAGAGTCAGGAGGCATGGGCTCTGGTGTGGACACTCGTAGGTTGAGATGTGAACCTGCACAAGGTCCCCTTCGTGCTCTGATCTCAATATCTTCATTCATACCATGAGTAGGCTAAACTAGATGGTCTGTAAGGTTGCCCTCAGCCTGTGATCTGGACGTTCCAACCTTCCCTGAACGCACTATGTTCTTTCCCACCTCTGGGCTTTTGAGCCTCCCATCCCACTGCCTGGAAGTTCCTTCTCTCCTCTACTGCTGGACTCATCTTTGGTAATTACTCAGTTTTGAAGAGCTGATTTAAGTAGCACGATATCCGTGTAGACTTCCCTGAACTGCAGGTGTGGTCAGCCTGGCTCCTCTCTGTTTCCCGAACACTTGCGCGGGTCTCCGCTCTAGAGCCTGTGATTGTCTGCCCAGATGGACCAGCAGCTTCTCAAGGGCAGAGACTTTAGTTCACCACAGTGACCTCTACACTTAAGCGTGGTGCTGGCCGTGCGGGTCCTTGTCTGCTGAAGGACTCCAGGACTGCGCCAGTGGTGACGGTGCCATTTCGCCCTCACATCTGCTAGATGGCGCTGCAGCCCACAGGAATGGAGCCCGCCGGCCCGGGAAACCTCAGGTCCCGCCGGGGGGGCGCGCAAGCTTCAGGCCACACTGGGAGATCACTTGGCCAGAAGCCCTGGACAAGTAGAAGTTTCCATTTTTCTTCATCTTCTCCGTTTTGGCTCCTGCTAGGATTGAACCATTTATCTTTCCCATTCCTTGAGATCTAGGAAGGTGGAGGCCTCTCCCTTCTTCCTTCTCTGCTGCCTCATAGCGGGAGGATTTAGACCATTCCTTTCCCCTTGGGAAACAGTCTTTGGACTGTTCCAGGTTCATTGTCTAATGTATGAGCTGATGACTTTTGTCCATGTGTCACCCTCACCGACTTCTCTGAAAAAAGGAGAAGAAAGATACAAGTTAGCACTTCATGGCAACATTTGTGACCCAGAGGGACTCCTGCCATTTCTGATCCCTTTATTGTTTGCTCACATCTGCTTTGTTTTCATTTTTCTATATCCCTTCTCCACTCTCTTCAGCGTCTCACAGAGCCCTGTACTTCTGCCCTCTAGCAGGGGCAGTATGGGGTAGTGGTTAAGGGCATTGGAGCCCGACTGCCTGGCTTTGAAACTTGCCTTTGCTACTCACTGGTTGGATGACCTTGGGCATATTTCTTAACCTCTTGGTGACTCAGTTTCCTCATTTGTAAAATGTTAATAATAACAGTAGCTACCTAAAACGGTTGTTGTGAGGATGAAATAAGTGCTTAGTGCTTTACCTTAAAAAGAGCAGGTACATGTTAAGTGCTACACGTGCTTATTGTAGAACTTCCAATTGGTCTGTCTTGTTCACTGTTGTATCTTTAGCCCCCAGAAGAGTGCCCCGCATATGATAGAGGAGGCTTCATTACAAGTTTCTCCTTTATAATAAAAGTAAACTAAAATTATGATAGATAACTGTTTACCCACTTAAATTGGCTAGGATTTAAAAGCCTAAAATAAAGTGATTCAGTAAATCTGCTAATCTTTTTATCTGAGTGCTTGGACATGCACAGAGTTTTAAGTACAAAGGTGTTCATAACTGTAGTATTTATTCTATAAGCAATCACTAACAATTGAACAGAAATAATGAAATGGTTAAATAAATGATGACATGCCTATGTGATGAAATATTATGCAACCACCATTAAGTGATCTTTTCTGTGGAATAGTTAATGTTGTGGGAAAACATTCCTGATAAAAGCTTAAAAAGTAGTCTACAAATCTACTAGCTTTACCTTTCTAGTCCCAAATTTCTTATCTGTAAAATTAAGATAATAATAGTGCCTATGTCATGGGATTGTTACAAGGTTTTAAAAAAGTATGTATTAAAGATTTAAATAAAGTGTTTTATTAGTTCTAGGCATGGGAATATGGGCTCAATAAATATCAGCTACTGTCATAAAATACACAGCAGGAGAACAAGACTGGAAGGAAATACAGCAGAGTGTTAAATGGTAGTTCACCTCAGATTAGCTGGCAAGATTATAGGAGTTTTAACTTTCTTTTTTATACAGCAAAGTATGTTAAAGCAGCTAGTATAGTGGTGGACCATGGTGGGCACTCAATAAAAGATAGCTAGCACTATTCTATTTTTCTTTATTTTTACTCCCTCTAATTTTTAATAACAAACATGTATTTTTAATCTATGTAATGCAGCAATAATGTTGGTTCATCGTATTTGTTAATTAATCGACCAGCCTTAACGTAGCACTCACTGTATGCCAGGCTTTGTGACAGCCACTCGGGCTGTCCAGTAAGGCGAACTGACCTGGCCCTTTCCTCTTCAGCTCTTCAGCGGGGAGCCCAGTAGAACGGACTTAATTCTGTTTGCATCATCGTTTTTCAAAGACTCTCCCAAATATTCCTTCCCTTTGGCAATTTCTAAGTCTGTCTTTCTTTCATTTTCTGATAATGCGTTTCTTCTATGACTCAGTAGTTTTCTCTTTTGCCATTCCTTCCTCAGACTTTCCTTTTTCACAACAAATTCCATGATTATTTTAACTGCCTGCCCCTGATTTCATCCCACACCACACTCCCCTCTCCCATCCAAAACAAATAATGATTCATCTCTCCCCCGCAAATGAAGTCAAGGTTGCTGATAATAATCATTTTTACCTCTTTTAAGTCCAAATAAAAATTAAGTGTATGAGTAAGTCAGGATTCCAAACCAGAGAGGAAAGGATGACTAATCTGATGAAAGATATTGAGAAATTTGGCCAAGAATATTTTGGAAAAAAAAGTGAGATTCCTATGGCATACCACACAACAGAATAAATTCCAGATGGATTAAAAAATCATAGCTAAGAAAAACTTGAAGAAAATATTGGGGAATCGCTCATCTCAGGGTGGGGAAAATCTTTCTAAAGACTTATGAAGTACAAAGGTATATGTGTTTAAATAAACATAAAATCTCTAAATCAACAAAGTTCAAGAAAAAAAGGGCAACAAAAATATTTGCAAGATTTATGACAAAGATAGCTATCCTTAAGATAGAAAAAGTCATTACAAATCAATGGGAAGATTTGAATAAGTTGTTAGAAAAATGAACAAAAATAAACAAAGGTAAAATTCAAGAGACAGACATGGGGAAATATTTTATACTATATAAAGCAGATATAGCACTAATTATATAAAGAGCTCCCCCAAATCAATATGAAAAAAGACAAATAACCCAAAAGAAAAACCAGCAGAGGTTGTAAATAGGTAAGTCACCAAAGAAGAAATAAAAATGGCAAAGAAAGATATAAAAAGATGGTCGAATTGAACAATGGCCAGGGAAATTCTTTCTTCTTTCTTTCTTTCTTTCTTTCGACAGAGTCTCGCTTTGTTGCCTAGGCTAGAGTGAGTGCCGTGGCGTCAGCCTAGCTCACAGCAACCTCAAACTCCTGGGCTCAAGCAATCCTGCTGCCTCAGCCTCCCAAGCAAGTAGCTGGGACTACAGGCATGTGCCACCATGCCCAGCTAATTTTTTCTATATATATTAGTTGGCCAATTAATTTCTTTCTGTTTATAGTAGAGACGGGGTCTCGCTCTTACTAAGGCTGGTTTCGAACTCCTGACCTCGAGCAATTCGTCCGCCTCGGCCTCCCAGAGAGCTAGGATTACAGGCGTGAGCCACCGCGCCTGGCCTTCTTTTTTTTTTTTAAAGTCTCCTTCCACATATCAAATAGGTAAAAATGAAAAAGTTAAAAATAAACAGAGTGGCAGTAGATATAAGGGAAGTGGGAGCTCTCTTATGTTCTCACTGGTGAGAATATATACATTGGTAAGGTCTTCTGAAGGGCTATTTGGCAGTAAATTTTAAAAATATTTGTCTCTTTAGTCCAGCAATTCTGCTTCAAAGAAGACAGCCTTGGAAATGCTCATACATATACACAGATATATATGCATAAAGGTGCTAATTACTTATTACAATGAAAAACTGAAAGAAAGGTATTCCCATATTCTAGAGAACACTCTCAGAAGTGCATAAGAATTTTCATCATGGTTTCAGAAGGACTTGAAAATATGTCAGATGTCCAATAAGAGCACATTACTTAAATAAATTATGTGCGCTCACTTACTGGAATACTACTCAGCTTGTAAAATGAATGAGGTAGACTTCTATGTACAGATAGGGAAAGATGTTCACAATAATAAAAAATTAATACTGTCTATAATCATAACTTTAAAAAGCAGCTTGTAGAACTTTAGGTGAAGTCTGATCCCATTTGTATAAACAAAAATATGACCCTTGCAATCGAGCTCGGTGCCTTTGCTGGGTTGGCAGGGGCCCTGCAGATGGGCTGAGCCATGGCAGCTGGCAGAGCTGAGAGGCAGCCCCAGTTCCCAGCATCCCCTGCTGTCAGCAGTCACAGTCAGGGAAGGGCCCTGGCTGCAGTATTCTTTCTCTCTTTAGTCTTCTGGGTGGACATGGGACTCTTTGGCCTTGTTAAGCTAGTTTAAGGTAGGACATGACCCAGTTACAGAATTTGGAAGGTTTCTTCTTAGGAACAGGATGTGATGGCCACTATTCTCCACGAGCATGAGGAAGGACGACCCCCTGGAAGCTCCTGGATTTGTTTTGTCTCAGTACCAGGAGTCTTTTCCAGCAATCCCAGTGGGTCACGCACAGGGTGAGCAGGAGGCCCCTCCATATCCGAAGGAAGAAGGAAGAACGACTACAGATGAGACCCTGAGCTCTGTCTGGACAGCCCTGTCTCTCAAGGTCTTCTCCTTCATGTGAAGTCCAAGTCTGCTCCTTTGAGGTTCTATCCTAGGTTCCTATCAGGCCCTTCTTCCTAAGGAGAATTCTTTAGAAATTCAAACATAGTGTCCTACTACCGCTAATCCATGGGCCCTTGAATCCCCTTAGATTCTACGAATCTAAGGTTTCCAGGTGTAGGGCTAGGATTGTCTTCATTATCCACGTGTCCGTGTGGTCTTTTTCTCTGTGTGTTTTACGAAGAGTCTTGGCAAATGTGGACAGAGAGAGTATCTCTAGATGAATGGGCTGTGGGAAAATGAGTCATAGTACCCTGGCAGGAAAGAGAGAGAGCTTTAGGGCTTCATGGTGCTCCAATGGAAGGCAAGTCACTCTTCTGAGTGAAGATCCCCATGGAGACACGGTCCCTTTTTTGTGTTGTGATGAGAATGGCTCTGGAATCTACGTGAGGTTCTATTAACTGCCAGGGAAGGAGGGAGTAATGGACCAACAGACAGAGGATTCATCAGGAGTCGAATGGCCGAGGTGGCCATGAGGTAACGACTTGAGGACCAGAGCAGCCTGGTGCCCTGTTGACCCAACAGTTCTTCTTTGAAGAAAAAGAAGGCTGACTGATGATCAACACAAGTTGTTGATGTCTTATTTTCCATTTGGATTTCCTTCAGTCACTCAGAAGATGAGGTTGGAGAATATTCTGGCAAAATATACCCAAACAGTTTTCCAGGTTTTCTTTCCCTAAAGAATCTGAATTTTGAATACATACACTGTTTCTTTGGGTATCATAACTTTTGTAAATGTCAGTTATACTTTTAAATATGTTTCACAGGAATTGAATAATTTTGAGATGTGACGACAGGACAATATACATCTAAAGTAAATTGCAAAATTGGAATCTTATAATTCTGTAGTGCTTGAAACAGAACAACACAAAAACCCAACTATGTATTTATGTGAGACACCCTGGCTGAAACTCAGCCCTGAGAATGTCAAAGCACGTGTGGGGCGGCTTCTCCTTCTGGTTTTGGATGGCATCCCTCCTTCCTTCTAAGGAACTCTCAGTAGCCTTTTGTCTCCTGTATATTCATTGTCTCTGTCTCAACTGGGTCATCCCATTGACACGAGACAATGGCAAACCCTTTTCCCTTCAAGAAAGCTCCTACCAATCTCATCCTAGCTCCCTCTTCCCACAGCCAGAGGCGTTCACAGAGTGTCTCCACTTGCTGACCCATTTCCTCACCTCCCACTCAGGCCTCAAGTCCTCCACTCTAACTTCAGGCCCCACCACTCCACCAAAATCGTTCTTAACAAGTTGCCAATCAACTCCACCTCCTTACAGCCTGTGGACATGCCATTCCTCATCTTTCCTGATGCCTGGACAGCAGCTGACACCCTAGACAACTTGGTCTTTTCCAAGACCCTCCTCGGGTACTTTCTGATGTGCCACCCTCCCCCACCTCTCTGGCTGCCAAGCAATTCCTCATCTACCCACCCTTTCAATGTGGGCGTTCTTCCAAGTTTTCATCTGAGGCTCTTTTTGTTCCTTTTTGTATCATGCTGTCTACCTCGATGATTACATCTGTGGTCTGGATCTGAATACCCAACTGGCCTCATGATATTCCCACCCCGACCCCAGCCTGTTCCTGAGTGGAACACCGTCCATATGCTTGGACGAGTCGGAAAGCTAGGTTTCTTCCTTGACACCTCCCTCCTGTCACGTTAGCCTGTGAATATCTCTTGAAAGTACCTATTTCTTTCCATGTCTACTGCATCTAAACATCCAATACAAAAGGGGCTGCATTGAGATGGAGTGAAATCGCCATTGGTGGTAGTGTCCAAGCAGAGTTTGGTCGACCACTTGACATGGACTAGATGCCAAGGTGAGTGCAAGTGCTCACTCACCCTCTCTCATCTGCCTAAGCGGTGGGGTGAGAGTTCAGCTCTCCTTCCTCTGAGACCACTCTTTTCTCTTGCCTGTGCAGGCACTACTCTATCAGGCCTACAAGGCTTTCATTATAAAATGCAACTCCCTTTTAGGAGAGGCCTGAGTTCCTCTGAGCTGCTAGGATCCCCAGAGATCATCCAGGTCAGATGTGGAAACTGAGGCCCAGAGAGCCTCAGGTCAGGGACTTGCCCAGGTTAAACAGTGAGCCAATGGCAGAGCAGGGGCTAGGACTTCTGCCCTCTGATGCTTTGATCTTCCCATTATTCCTTGCTGTCCCGCATCAGCTCACCTACGTCATTTAGTACCTGCTGAGTAATAATTTGCCATCAGATGACAAGTTACAACTCTGAAATAGGAAGGATATTTCAGTGTTGCCCTGGCTAGGGTGTTGTAAGACAGAGTTATTTATTAGAGACACAAATAAGGAGACCAGAGACAGTAACAATCTGGGACAAGGTCTTGGTGGGTGTTATGTTTGTCCAGCCTCATATCCTAGGACCTGAAGTCTAGGTTCATGACTGTGCCTTGAGACCTATTTTAGAGGCAAAGCCAAACCAAAACTGAACCCAAAACAACAACAACAAAAACCTCAGTGTTTGTCAGTTGGGATACTGACTTGCGTAACTGTCAATGGTTAGAGCAGCTTGAAAAGGCGACAAAGGTATGATTCATAATATTCAGTTCCATGGTACATAAAGAAATCAAGTGGGTACAAAATAGTTACATGGTAAGACTGTGTCTGATAGTTTATAGGCCTAACCTGTAGCTCTCTGGTCCCATGGTTCCAACATCCCTTTGATCTTCTTTGTAGGGTTTGCAAACATCTTTCATGAAAAAAAATCATTAAGAAAAAGTATAAAGATAGAAAATAATGTGGTTTAGAAATGCAGACTGAGTTGAATCTAGAGGCTCTTCCCTCAACCAAGAGATTGGATTTTGAAAAGTTGTTCAGCGATTTATTTGTTGCTAAGTCTAAAATGACCCTCTACCAGTTATTGATGTGAATACATTGCTGTAAAGTTATATGAGAACTAAAGTTATATATGGCATTTGTTTTGACTTAGCCCACACATATATAATCATTTTCTCACCGCTTTTCATCTTAAAAATGGTCTGTGCTCTTGTTTCCCTCATAATAATATGTAAATTGTCATATTCTAATGCTAATACCTCCGATGGTGGGCACAGTGGGTATTACTTTGACCTGACTTTGGTATGACTTTGACCTGCATAATTTTTTCTGGCATCTATAGGGTTCCATGTTTTCCTGCCTAAAGTCATGAAGGTTTATGAAATCCTTGGCTCTAGGACCAATCACTCTGAGGAGTTTCCCTGCTGACCATGTCAGGGCTTTGTTGTCCTATCACCTATAGATTCTGCATTATGTACATTATATAGATTTGTGTCATAGCTAGAATAGTAATTCTCAAAAAACAAGGAGTGGGGAAAGTGGAGATTGTTACTTAGGGTGGTA